ATCCCGGCCTATAAGGAGCTCATTACAGACCCCGATCCCGGCCTATATGGAGCTCATTACAGACCCCGATCCCGGCCTATAAGGAGCTCATTACAGACCCCGATCCCGGCCTATAAGGAGCTCATTACAGACCCCGATCCCGGCCTATATGGAGCTCATTACAGACCCCGATCCCGGCCTATATGGAGCTCATTACAGACCCTGATCCCGGCCTATAAGGAGCTCATTTCAGACCCTGATCCCGGCCTATATGGAGCTCATTACAGACCCTGATCCCGGCCTATAAGGAGCTCATTACAGACCCTGATCCCGGCCTATATGGAGCTCATTACAGACCCTGATCCCGGCCTATATGGAGCTCATTACAGACCCCGATCCCGGCCTATATGGAGCTCATTACAGACCCCGATCCCGGCCTATAAGGAGCTCATTTCAGACCCTGATCCCGGCCTATACGGAGCTCATTACAGACCCTCATCCCGGCCTATACGGAGCTCATTACAGACCCTCATCCCGGCCTATAAGGAGCTCATTTCAGACCCTGATCCCGGCCTATAAGGAGCTCATTTCAGACCCTGATCCCGGCCTATATGGACCTAATACTTCATGTTTCAGATGAATTCATATGAAACGTTTTTATCTCTTACCACCCATAAAGTCCTCGTGGGTCAGCGGCATGTCAAGTCGAATCCGTTTGAGACACGTCTGCAGGAAACAAAGGAAATGAATAACTACTCCAATACTAATTAATTCTACGATAAGTACATTTCATTGAAATGATCTTCCTCCCACCTGCACGTCCTTCTTGTTGCCGAGCTTCTCCACTTTGTCGATAAAATCTTCAAACTGCAGTTTTGGGTACAACCTGTGAGCCCAGTTCTCCATCTTCTGCATCAGCAGCCGCAGGTCCTCAGCCTGGTGGAACCAAAACACATCGTGAGACACCGTGAGGCTGAATGTTATGAGATATGATTCAATACTTTATGAACGACTCCACGGTCGTCTGCTGTCTGCTCTCACCTCGTGCCCTCTGCCTTTGAAACGGACGTTATCGAACAGAGTTCGTAGAGCTGGAAGTCCTCTTTCTGAGATCAGCCTGAAGAAGAAAATACACAAAAACTCTGTCATATGATCCACTGTGTGTACAAAAGAGGATGTTATGGTAGGTAATGCCTCTCTCTCTCTCTCTCTCTCTCTCTGTCTGTGTGTGTCTCTCTCTCTCTCTCTCTCTCTCTGTGTCTCCCTCTCTCCGTCTGTCTGTCTGTCTCTCTCTCTCTCTCTCTGCGTCTCTCTCTCTCTCTGTGTCTCTCTCACTCACTCACTCACACACTCAACTATTCACCCTGCTTACCATTTTTCCAGTTATGTTGCATTAAAAACTGTATTTAATGTATTTTTATTTGGATTTTTGGATCAAAATTGGTGAAGTAAAGAAAAGAAAAAGAAAAATGTTTTTCAAAAGTATTCTAAGAAATAAGAAACAGTGTAAAAGCTAATCTCTGAGGCCTCCTGGTGTGTTCCTCACAGTGCGTCTCATGTGAGTGTGTGAGGTACCTCTGAGAGTCCAGCTTGGGTTGAGGCCTCTTCACTCCTTTCCTCTTCGCAGCAGGAACGTCCACCAGCTTGGACTCATCTCCGTCTTCCTCCGCTGCATCAACACATGACAGCAGCTCAGTTACCATCTGGATCTACCATCACTCTATCGCTCTCTCCACTCTCTAGGTGTGACCTGGCTTCAAACGCTGAATATCTTCTTCTTCTTCTCACCGTCATCAGAAGGCTCTCCGGCCTCTCGCCCTCCCTGACCCGGGGAGTGAGGAGGGGGGAGGGGAGGGAAGGTCTCGTCCTCTAGGTTGTCAAACCGGCCGTTCTCCATGGTGAGCAACTCCTGGAGGAAAAGTTTAAATACCAGCCACAATCAGTACCTCCCTCCCTACATTTCTGTTTTAATACCAGCGTTAGTAAACGTCTGAGAGGCTCATTCAAACCAAACTCAAATATCTAAATTAAAGATGCATCGACTGAAACAAACACGTCATGATAATAAACAGAACTCTATTAATATTGAGAGCAGCTACGTACAATTACTCAAAAAACTGTACTGAAGTAAAATTACAGGATACTATTTCATGATCCTTTATACTTCTACTCCACGACGCTTGAGAGGGAAATATTTGTACTTTTAAAATATTGTGCTTATTGATTATAAGTTTACAGTTTTTAAAGCTCCAATCTGTACATAACCATCCGTCACTGTCAATATAAATCATTATAACTGTATTTAGACGTGTATCCATTCCATCACTACACATGAAGTATTTATTTATTTGTATAGTTTACAACTTACAGAGCAGTTAACTACATGTAGTCTATATATCGGTGTTGTATCTTCAGTTGTTGGTCATTGGGGCAGTTTATAATATGCACCTATTTGTCACACACTGTGTACATTATAGTCCTGTCTGTTCTTCACCTTTATTGGTCAGAATGCTGTCCTTGTTCTTAGCAGTTATATCTTTTTCTGTGTAAATACATTGAGAGCAACAAAGAGTCAAATTCCTCGTATGTGTTCACATATTTGGCAATAAAGGTGATTCTGATCTCACATGAATGTCTTATAGAACATGTTAAATAGTAATATATCAACTCTTCAACAGTATATACACTAAGTATTATTATTATTAAACTATACGTATACTTACAATGTATACATTCATACATTTAGTTCAGTTGCTTGTTTACTGTTACTATAGATTTGTTCAGAGTTTTAACATTGAGTTGTAATATTTTATCCGGATATCAACGATCATTGTTGTTTCATATCGGTATCGGTCATGAGAGCTCAGACATCGGTCGAGCACATTCAGTAATACAGAAATAATGACATCTTGGCAGGAAATTTGTAATGACAATAATGGTAGAAATCATAACCAAAGTCAGACGTCAGTCAGAGTGAGAAGTGATTAAATGTAGAAAAGAAGATGTTCCTTTCAGTAGATTAAGGTTAGGATATACAGGACTCAATGGCACGTTATAAACACCATGAAGAAGACAGAGTGGGATAAATGTGAGATATGCAACTGTAAAGTGTTGAACATGTGCTGATAGAGAGGAGGAAGTTCAGTGGCTTTAGGAAGGGAGTGGAGCATCAAAGGACTGTTAGAGACAGGGGACAAAGCTTCAGCTTAAAAGAGCTTCATGTACATTTATGAATGGAATGGGTTTAATATCCAGAATATAACTTTTATATGAAGTCTTTTTTATTTATAAATAAGGTATTTTTTAATTTTAATTTATAAATAATAAAGTATTTATTTTATTTTATTTATGAATAACGTTGTGTTGTCACACAACGTTTATGACAGTTGTCATAAAGTCATGATGTTACACACTCCGGTGCAGTAGGTGGCGGCATTGCGCCTTAAACGTTGGTTTGTAGTCCGCCAAATAAACTGAAAATAAGACGAAGAAGAAAAAGAAAAAGACGGAGGTAAAAGTAAACACCGCTATGCTAACGCTATGCTAACGTTGAGCTAACTACGAGCTGCTGAGATAACGTTACTTTGGCTAGCTTACGTTAGCTAACATGTAAGATAAGCTGCTGTCAGCGCAATAGTAAAACA